CGGGACTGAGAGGACGCCCGCAGACCCCAGCCCCGGCGCGGAGACCCTGGCGACCGCCTCCCGCCTCCCTCGGCTCCCCACCTGCCTTCGCTCGCTCCTCGGCAGACTACGGCGTCCCGCGCGGCGGTCCTTCCCGGCGTGTACGCGTGCCGGACGGGGCGTGCGCGCCGACGAAGGCGTGCGCGTGTCCGCCAACGTGGGACGCGCGCCCGGCGCCGGGAGGGGCGTGACTCCAGGGGCTCTCGGCTCCAGTCAGCGCGGGGCGGGGCGCGTGCGGGCAGGTGGTGCCCGCGCCGGCCCCGCGGCTTAGGTTTTCGGAGGTGCTGCCGCGATCCCGAGGGGCCCGGCTTTACCGGACCTGCTGGCAGTACCAGGCAGGCCCGTCGGAGAGACCCAGCTTCACCGCGGCGCCACGGCGACCCGGGAGTGCGGCGGGGGCAGCTGGCCGAGCGGACCAACGAGGCGGGGTTCGGGTCCGGACTGAGAGGACCCCTGGGCCTGGGGGGAGGGGGACTGGAGACAGAGGACCCCTGTGATCCGGGGACCAAGACCGCTGGGCAGAGAGCATGGCATCGCGGAAGAAGGGCTTGTCCTGTTTGCTCCACACCAAGTCCCCCGAAATTAATCATGGCAATCATGCTTTCCGGACACATTTACTTGTCAAACCAGTTTGTCAACAGAAGGGTTCTCCAAGCTAAGGCGTAAGTTACTGTATAAAATGCATATAAAAGTTATTATTCAACCGTCACCCGTATCCACCTCCAGATGCATCTTTTTGTGAACAAGCTTATTTGAGGATCATGTACCTACTGTAAGGTTCACTCCTTTAAGTGAAGGTGGTTTTCTTAAGAGTTGCAGAACCACCACTACAATCTAACTGTAGAGAGTTGTCGTCATCCTGGAAAAAAAGTCCCAGTTCCCTTCTTCCCTTCATCCTCTGGTAACCACTAACTAGACATTTCATCTAAGTGGAAGCATATACGATGGAGTCTTCTGTGACCGACTTCTTTCAGTCAGCATCATCTTAAAGCTCATAGTGTAGTGGGCATCAGGGTTTAGTCCTTTTTATTGCTGGTTAATATTCCATTGTATGGATATATGCATTTTATTTATCCATCAGCTAATTGATATTTGGCTGTTTCCATTTTCTGGCCATCATGCATAATACTGCTGCAAACATCTGTGTAAGTTTTTGTATGGATTTAAGTTTTCATTTTTCTGGGTATATATGAGTGGAATGCCTGGGTCTTATTGATAACATTTTGTGGAATTGCCAAACTGTTTTTAAAAGTGGCTGCACTTTTTTTTTTTTTTTTTTAGATTTTATTTATTTGAGAGAGAGTGAGCCAGGGAGAGCACGAGGGGGAGGGGGAGGGGCAGAGGGAGAGGGGCAGAGGGAGAGGGAGAAGCAGACTCCCCTTGAGCAGGGAGCCTGAGATCATGACCGGAGCTGAAGGCAGAAGCTTCACCTACTGAGCCCCCCAGGGGCCCCTTGGCTGCGCCTTTTAACATTCCCAACCGCAAAGTGTGAGGGGTTTGATTTCTCCACATCTTTGCCTACTTGTTATTTGCGTATTTTTTATTGTGGCCTCATGGTCGATATGGAGTGATATTGTCATTTGGACTTGCATTTCTGTAATGTTAGCAGTCTATAGAGCATCTTTTCATATACTTATTCTCCATTTGGAGAGATGTCTGTTCATATCCTTTGCCCATTTAAAAAATTGGATTAGTTATCTTTTATTATTGAGTTTTAAGAGTTTCATTAGACACATGTTTTTAAAATATTTTTTCCATTCTGTTGATTGACTTTTCACTTTTTATTGCTATCATTTGCAGCACAAAAGTTTTAAATTTTCATTAGTTCCAATTTATTTTTCCTTTTGTTGCTTGTGCATTTGGTGTCATATCTAAGAAAGCATTGCCTAACTCAAGGTTGTGAATATTTACTTCTGCTTTCTTCTAAGAGTTTTATACTTTTAACTTCTTTTTTTTTTTTAAGTAAGCTCTAGGCTCAGCGTGGGACTTGAACTCATGACCTGGAGATCAAGAGTTGCATGCTCCACAGACTGAGCCAGCCAGGTGCCCCCATTAACTTTTACATTTAGTTCTATTATCACTTTGAGTTAACTTTTGTGTATGATGTTAGGTGTCCAACTTCATTCTTTTCCATGTGGATATCCACTGTTCTGGCACCATTTTTTGGGAAGACTATTCTTTCCCTGTCAAGTTTTCTTGGCACCTTTGTTAGAAACCAGTGGACTTTAAATGTAAGGATTTATTTCTGGATTGTCAATTCTATTCCATTGATTTGTATGTCTAAACTTATGTCAGTACCACACTGTCTTGATCAGTGTAGCTTTGTAGTAAGTCTTGAAATTAGGAAGTACGAGTCCCCCAACTTTATTCCTTTTCATGATTGGTTTGGCTATTCTGGGTCTCTTGCATTTCTATATGAACTTTAGGATTAGCTTGTCAATTTAGAGAGTACTGTATTGCCATCTTAACAATGTTAAGTCTTCTATGGGCATAGGATGTCTTTCCCTTTACTTAGGTCTTCTTTATTTCTATAACTTTTATATTTTCCAGTGTTCACATCTTGCACTTTTTTTAGGGGGGAGATTAAATTTATTCCTAAGTATTTTTTCTTTTTTTTTTTTTTAAGATTCCATTTATTTATTTGTCAGAGAGAGAGAAAGAGAGAGCAAGTGTACATGCAGGGCGAGGGGCAGAGGGAGAGGGAGAAGCAGGCTCCCCACCAAGCAGGGAGCCCAATGCTGGACTCCATCCCAGGACCCCAGGATCATGACCTGAGCTGAAGGCAGCTGCTCAACCAACTGAGCCACCCAGGCGCCCTAGGATTCTCTATGTACAAGATCATGTCATGTGCAAATAGGGACAGTTTTACTTCTTTCTAATCTGTATACTTTTCATTATTCTCTTGCCTAACTGCCCTGGCTAAGACATGGAGTACAATGTTGAATAGAAGTGGCAAGAGAGAGGCGCTTGGGGGGCTCAGTCGGTTGAGTGCCTGACTCTTGATTTTAGCTCAGGTCATGATCTTAGGGTTGTGAGATTGAGTCCCAAGTGGGGCTCCACGCTTAGTGGGGAGTCTGCTTGAGGTTCTCTCTCCCTCTGCCTTTGTCCCTCCCCCTGCTCACGTGCGCACCTGCTCTTTCTCGCAAATAAATCTTTTTAAAAAATAAAAGTAAAAAATAAAATGCTTACGTGTTTCAAAGCAAGAAACCAGACCAGCTTCCTCCAGATTTTGCGGAGGAAAGAATAGTTTACACATTCTTTGTCCGTCAATCCTCAGGATATATAAGAGTGAGGAAATATGTTGGGGAACAATGTGACATCATTTCTTTGGAGGAAATTGTGGAGTGCTGTGTATTTCCATTTTCATTTTCTTCCCTTTGGAGAAGAAAGGGGTGTTTCCACCCCACCTCAAGCCAAGCAAAGGAGTTCCGAAAGGACCCCTCCCTCTGGGTGGGGTATGGTCAGGAAGGGAAAGAACCTGTCACCCAAGACTAAGTTTGCTTAGCTGAAGAAATCCCTGTGTCCAGGCCTGGTAAAGGGACCAGAGTTGAACTCTTGGGAGAAACCCTCAAATGTATAGAGCATGTTCTTTGTGAACATGGCCAATGCTCAACCTTATTTATACTAAGAGAAATGCAATTATCCAACTGCAGAGAAATAGACAAACTGAGGTGTACTTGTTGACACTATGTAGATGAATGACTGAGCCTCCACATAGTGATGAGCTTAGGAAAAAAACAGGTCACCAAAGACTACATAAGGTATAATTCCTGAACATAAAATTCAAAACTATGTCAAACCAAACCATGTATTGTTTAGGCTAATTCTACCTCCATCCTTTATCTGTAGGCACACCTCATTTTATTGCACTTCACGGATACTGCGTTTTTTAGAAGTTGAAGGTTTGTGGCAATTTTTCCAATAGCATTTGCTCACTTCCTGTCTCTTATATTTTGGTAGTTCTCGCAATATTCCAGATGTTTTCATTATTATGATATTTGTTATGGTGATCTGTGACTAGTGATCTCTGATGTTACTTTTGTAATTGTGTTGAGGCACCACGCACTGCTCTCATATTGAAAGCAGTAACCAAGGGTCAGTGAGACTAATCGCAGGTTGTAGACAATTAAGCACAGATGGACTTTTACCCAGACCTTTTTTATGTGTAAATTTCTCCTTAATTTGACAGGTTCTTTCCCTTCCTGAACCCAAATTTCTCTCCTTTGGGGAGGTGGATGGGAGGGTTTTCCTCCTATCTCTTTGTTTGGCTGCCTTGCAAATAAACTCTCTCCTTGCTGCATACTTGGTATCTCAGTAATTGTCTTTGCTGCTCATTGGGCTGATGAACTTGAGTTCAGTTACAATGTAAGATGGTGAACTTAGTATGTAAATGTCTGTATTCTGACTCTTCTACCCACTGGCCATTCCCCATTTCTCTCCCTCTCCTCAGGCCTCCCTATTCCCTGAGACAATATTGAAATTAGGCCAATTAATAACCCACAATGGCCTCTAAGTGTTCAACAGAAAGGAAGAGTCACACAACTCTCACCTTAAATCAAAAGTTAGAAATGGGGGGCTCCTGGGTGGCTCAGTCGTTGAGCGTCTGCCTTCGGCTCAGGTCATGGTCCCAGGGTCCTGGGATCGAGCCCCGCGTCGGGCTCCCTGCTCGGCAGGAGGCCTGCTTCTCCCTCTGCCCACTCCCCCTGCTTGTGTTCCCTCTCTCACTGTGTCTCTCTCTGTCAAATAAATAAATAAAATCTTTTAAAAAAAAAAGTTAGAAATGGGGGCTCAGTCAGTTAACTGTCTTCCCTGGGCTCAGGTCATGATCCCGGAGTCCTGGGATTGAGTCCCGTATTGGGCTCCCTGCTCAGCAGGAAGCCTGCTTCTCCTTCTCCCTCTGCCATTTCCCCTGCTTCTGCTCTCTGGCTCTCTCGCTGTCAAATAAATAATTAAAATCTTTTTTAAAAAAGTTAGAAATGATTAAACTTAGTAAGAAAGGCATGGTGAAAGCTGAGATAGGCCAAAAGCTAGGCCTCTTTGTACCATACAGCCTAGTTGTGAATGCAAAGGAAAGTTCTTGAAGGAAATTAAAAAGATCTACTCTAGTGAATGCACAAATAATAAGAA